GCCGTAGGCGCTCATGCCGCCGTATGGCATCTGGCCCAGGCTCTGGGGCATGCCGGGGGCGCCCGCGCCCTGCGCCCCCGCGGCAGGCTGCTCCTGCGGCTTGGCGCCGGCGGCGCCGCCGTACTGCTTGCGGTCCTGGCGCCCGCCCTGCTGGCTGTACCCCTGCGCCTGCTGCGCCTGCTGCGCCTGCTGCGCCTGCTGCGCCTGCTGCTGCGCGGCATAGTAGCCGGCGGCGTCGTACTGCTGGCTGGCGGCGGCCTGCTGCGCCTGGCCCGCCTGCTGCTGCTGCGCCTGCTGCGCCGCCTGCTGCGGCTTGGCGGCCGCGGCGGCGCCGGGCTGGGCGTAGGCGCCATAGGCGCCGTAGGCGGCCTGCTGCTGCGCGGCGTGCTGCGCGGCGTGCTGCGCGGCGTAGCCCGCATACTGCTGGGCGGCGGCCTGCGCGGCGGAGTCGGCGGAGGGCTTGGCGGCGGCGGGCGCCGCGGCGGAGGCCTGCGCCTGCGCCTGGTAGCCCTGGAAGGCCGCCTCGGCAGCCTTCTGCTGCGCGCTGGTGGGGGCGGCGGCCTGCTCCGCGGGCTTGGCGGCTGCAGGGCAGAGGAGGGGCAAGCGCAGACGTTGAGCAGGGGCAAGTGAGGAGCACCCACATGCCTGCCAACAGCAAGCACAGGCACGCGGTCGCACGGCGAACCGGTGCGCCTCCTTGCTGCTGCTGCTGCGCACCCGCGGCGGCGTCAAAGGAGGCAAAGCCGGTGCCGTAGTCTCCCGTGGCGGTGCCAAAGTTGAGCTGGCCAAACTGGAGCATGGTGCCGTCCACAGACGGGGCGGCAGCAGAGGCGGCCACGGGCTGCGCCGGCGCAGGCGGCATCAGCACAGAGGCGGGGGCAGCCTCCTCGGGCTGCGCCGCGGAGGCAGGCGGGGCCTGCAGAGGGCGCGGCGCGAGGAGGTGGGGAGGCCAGCTGGGGTGAGCCGCAGCGGGATGCGTGGCGTGGGGCAGCGGCGGTGTGTGTGCCATGGGATGTAGCAGGGAGGGGGGGAGGCTGCGTGACACGGTGTGCTGCAAGCCACCAGCAAATAGCAGGCCCAGCGGGAGGCGCACCTGAGCCGCCGGGGCGGCAGCCAGTGCAGACATGAGGTTGAGGCCGGCAGAGGCGGCCGCGCCTGCGGGGGCGGCGGGCGCCGCCGCGGGCTTGCCCCACGCCGAGGCGGCGGGCATGGCGGGCGCGGGGGCTGCGGGCGCCGCCTCCGCGACGGCCGCGGCGGCTGGCTGGTAGCGCTGCCCCACCGCTCCCAGGCCCAGGCTGCTGCTGATCTGGGTGGTGCTGGCGTCGGGGGCGCCGGCCGCTGCTGCCAGGTTGCTCGCGGGCGGCTCCGCGGCCGGAGGGGTAGGGGAGGGCGCCGCGGGCGCGGCCGCCGCCGGCGCGGCGGCTGCGGCTGCTGCGGGCGCGGCGGCTGCGGGCGCGACTGCTGCGGGGGCGGGCGCGGGCGCCGCCGCCGGCGCCGCCGCCTTTGCCCTCAGCACATCAGCCATGGTGCGGCCGGCGGGTGCGGCGGGCGCGCCGGGCGCAGCGGGCGCCCCCACATCGCCTGGCGCCTTGGAGTAGGTGGGTGTGGGCGCGGGCGGCGCCGCGGGCTCGGCTGCTGCGGGCGCAGAGCTGAAGGGCACCTCCTCCTCGGCGGGCGCCGCAAAGCTGTCGGCGGCAGCGCTGTCTGGGGAGGTGCGGGGCGGGTAGCTTCCGCGGCCTGCAGGAGAGGAGAGCAGGCGAGGTGGCGAGGCATCGCTTGAGCCATAGCTGGCAGGCTTTGCGGCGTGGTTCCGTGGCAACCGGCCCGGCGGCACGCCGCGGAAAGGGCAGCTGTGTGGGCGCCGAGCGGAGGACGGCAGGCGGCGAGCTGGGTCACGCATGCGGCACGTGGGTGCTGCCTCACCGCGGCCGCCTCCAAAGGCCCTGCCGCCGGTGCCCCTGCCGCCACGCCCGCTGAAGCCGCCGGAGCCGCTGAAGCCGCCAGACTGGGCCCGCTGCCGCGACTCCGTCTGCCTGTCCTTGACCTCGCGCGCCTCCTTCTGCACCCAGCAAGGGAGACCAACCGCACCAAGCAGCGTATGAGCCGGCCTGCCCACCCAGCAGGATGCAGACAAGGGCAGGCAGCCTGTGCGGCATGCCTGCGCCGTGGCGGCGCACTGCGAGGACGCAGAACGCGCGCCCCCGGCGGCCGAGGTGGAAGCGCGTGCAAGCAGATGCGAGGGCACCCGCCGCCGCACCTCTTTGCGCTTCTCAACCCTCGACTTGACCTGCTGGAAGGGATCTGCAGGCGCGGGGAGGGAAACCACGCTCACTTCCCTGTTCCTGGGCATAGCCAGGCGGCAGGAGAGCACCCCTGGCTGGGCGAGCAAGCGGCGGGGCCCAGGGCGAGGGCGGCCGCCACCCTTCCCGCCCAGCGGCGCCGCTCACTGTCGATGAGTCTGCTGGTGGCCTCGTTGACGTCGTAGTTGCACTCTGCCAGCCTGCAGGCGGTGCAAGGGAGGCCGTGAGGCGCCCGGGAGCCCCACAGGGTTGACCATGCCCCCCTGATCACCGGCTCCCCCACGACTCTAACGCGGTGCTGCCCCTCACATGGCCGAAATCTCCTCTTCCTGGGCTCCCGTGGCCTCTTTGATGCTGTCAATGATCTGCAGGAGGGGCGGGCTTGCCGTCGGCGAGGGTGTCCAGAGGGCCTGCGCCACAGGGCGCTGATGGCGTCGCCCCGCCACCCTCCCAGCACCCACCTTCTTGGGAGCCACCGGCGGCTTCTTGACTGCAGCCGCCGCAGCGGGCTTGGCGCGGGATGCCATCTGTGATGTGAGGGGAGGGGGCTTGGCGGCGGGCGGTGATCGATATGTTACACTGAAAGCAGCGAGAATGCACGCTGAGGCGGCCTGGGAGGCCTCCACAGTGAGCGAGCCTTCCACCAGGGGTCAAGACCGCCGCTGCCATGCACGGCAAACCCGGAGCGGAAGAGCCTTACAGTGGGCGCCCGACATAACAGGGGGCGCCTTCAGTGAAACGAGCAGCCCGCAAGGCAGCAGGCAAGTGGGCGGCAACTGACCACAGCCTTGCCGCCGCCCCACGCCGCCGCCACGATGAAGCGAGGCTATCAAGCACAGAGAGAGTGAGTAGCGAGAAGAGGCCAGCAGGAGAATGGGAGCAAGCACGAAGGAGGGAGCGGAGGAAATGAACCAGAGGGAGGGACGGCAGGCCACCGGGCGGCGCCGGCTCACTGCGCGGGCACCGCCTGCACCTGCACCTGCAGCGCGGCGCGCAGGTCGTCCCGCTCCTCGCACAGCCGCTTGTACCGCCCCTGCAGGTCCCCCTCCCGCGCCGCCTGCGCCGCCACCAGCGCCTGCAGCGCCTCGATGCGGTCGGGGGCAGACCGCTGCTCCGCCTCATGCAGCGCCCTGCACACAACAGCGGCGCCAGCAGGCCCGCCGTGAGACCCGCTCCCTTGCCAAGCGGGCAGGCTGGCAGAGGCTGGCCGAGGCTGGCAGAAGCCAGATGCCAGGACGCCAGCTGCCAGGCGCACATCAGCCGCGCCGCGACCGACCAACGAACCTCCAGCACCACGCCTCCCGCAGGCGCAGGCGCAGGCGCAGGCGCAGCCCTGCTCACCGGAAGCACTCCAGCTCGGTGGCCGCCGCCCGCAGCGTGCCCCACACCTCCTCCGCCTCCCCGCGCAGCTTCTGCTGGCGCGCGGCCAGCCCGCCCGTCACGATGCCCACGCGCTGCTCCAGCTTGGCGGCGCGCTTGGCCTCCTTCTCCATCTCCTTGCGCACGCCCTCAAAGTCGGCCTGCGCAGCGGGCGGGCGGGGCAGGCGGGCGGGCAGGGTGAGCAGGAGGTGCAGCAGGGCGCGCAGCAGCGGCAGCAGCAGCGGCAGCTGCCGCAGAGGCTCGGGGGCCACACGCCGGGGGCGGCGGGGCGAGCCCAGCCGCTGCCGCAACCCGTGCACGATGCCAGAGGCGCCGCTAGCAGTATCCTCCCGTGCCATCCGCCGCGGCCCCCGCAGCCTGCCCTGCAGCCTGCCCCGCCTCCCTCACGCCCGCCTCCAGACCTCCCCGCACGGCCCCCGCCCGCCTGCCGCCCACACCCACCCACCTGCACCGATGCGACGCGGTCGGCGTTGGTGGCTGAGGCGGCGCGCGTGTAGCGCTGCTGGGAGGGCAGGTAGATGATGTCTCGAGCCACGGCCTCCCAGGCAGCCGCATAGTCTGCAAACGGGGCGCGCAGCGGCGGCGGGGACGCGGCTGGGTGCGGGGCGGCGGCCGTCGGCGGCGGCATGCAAGCAGCGGCGCGCCCCCAAGCCCCTGCTCTGGCGCCTGCTGTGCCCGATAAGGGGCGGCTGCTGCGCCCGAGGGGCCGCCTGCTGCCCGCCGCCTGCCGCGCAAGCCCCATGCCCCGCCGCGCGCCGCCTGCTGCCTGCCCTGCCCACCCCATGCCCCAGCGCAGCCAGCCCAGCCCCCCACCCCTGCTCACCCTGCGTGCCCAGGCCGCCATGGTCCATCGCCTTGCGCACAAACTCCGCCTCGCAGCGCAGCAGCCTGGCCGCCTCCGCA